GATACCGCAAATGTGCGTTTATCTCCGCATGGACCCACCAAACCTTCATGCCACATATGGTGACGATCCATCTACAAGGGGCGAAGTAGTGTAAAAAACGCCCGTAAAAACCGCAAAACGAAAAATGAAAAACTGAAAATTTGTATGTACCTTCCCATAAACCCAATGAACCTCCATACCAAATTTGGTAAAGATCCATCATCAGGTGGTGAGGTAGTGTTAAAAAAATGCAAAAACTCCCATAAAGTCTGAAAAACGTAAAATGCAAAACTTAAAATTTGTATGCACCCCCGCATGGACCTAATGAACCTCCATACAAATTTTCGTAAAGATCCATCTACATCCTGCGAAGTATTTACATGGATATACAACAGACAGTACTATTATATTTATACATATTAGCATAATGTGCTTCAATATACACAACAGCTTCCTCTATTAATGACCCCCAGTAGCACAGCGGTATGTCTGCGGACTTACAACGCTAGAAACCGGGTTTCGATACTCGTGGTGGGCAGAGCACAGATAGCCCATTGTGTAGCTTTGTGCTTAATTCCAAACAAACAAACCTCTGTAAATATAGACCTATTTTTGATCACCCCGAAAGTTGCGATTTTTTATTTTGAAGGTATCAAATTTAAGCAAAATATTTAAATCTTGTGGAAATTTGAACATGCTTCAGCCTTAACAACATATTTCATATCTTAGCAAAATATTTGTGAATTGTCTAGCTAAACATTTTTACAATATTTCAGTAAAATATTCCTCACGTTTTCCATCCATATGTTTAGGTCTGAATAATTTTGCATTATATTATAGGCATACGTACATAACTTTTGGACCTACCACTGATACTAGTAATATGCAGATACTTTCCAACTGAAGATATGAAACCAAAACACGAGAAGCCTGTAATTAAGTCCTACATAAGTGTGCATAAGTCGCGCATAAGTTTAACGTTCGCTATACGTGAAATACTATATGGATGCGTATACTGATACTAGGGGAAAGCCATGTGTTTGTTCCTTGCACAATGGAAGTATGTTTGTCTACCCATACGCACAGACAAATAGTTACACTTCTTGAAAATGCGCGTTTTGTCTATGGTTAAAAAAAAAACACATAAAAACGTTTTCTGAAGGCGCACACAGTTTATGGTTACAACATCCGTGCTAAAATCCGTGGTTCGATTTGCCGCAACAAATATCCAAATTAGGCTTTGCTCCAAAACAAACAAACAAGTTAATACATTCCGTTTATGCATTTCCGGCCTATTCCAGTAACAAGCGTTACAGCAAGTTAAGAAAAATATTTATACAATAAAACTTTGTACTCTTTCCCGAATATTGTCTCATTAGCACGTGAAGAAGAAATGCCCATTTCTGTTCATACGTAGGTTAAACTAGTGTTACCTAAAACTTTTCTAAGCATACTCCTATCAATGGCATTAATGTAAATAAAACAAAGCCACAATCATTGGACCCTGAGGCACTCCATTAGACACAAGGGCCCAGTTTGACTGGACATAAATAATAACAATCTTTTGCTTTCTCCTATCCAATCACCCCACAGTCCAATTAATCAATCTTTCTCCAACCTCTACTACCGATGTGGTTTTCTTAGCTAATCTTTTGTGTGTAATATCATAAAAAAGCTTTTTACAAATATAAGTACACCAAGTCTTCACTCTTTTCTTCGACCAGATAATAATCAATATCCTAAGAATATATATATATATATATATTAAATTAGGAAGACAAAATTTCCCTTTGGTGATTGAACATCACCAACCACTACTACTGTTATTGTGATGTAACAGGTCTAATATTTTAGTTTCTAAACTTCTACTTTGGAATTTTGGGTTACCTTTACTTTGTTTACAGTTAAGAATATAACATCCTTGACCATACTTATGATATCCTGCTCTCTACTTTAATTTTTAATTAGTTGGTATCTTTCAATCATTTACACAGTCTCCAACTGAAGCAAGTTTAAGCTGTGGGTGACTTTCTTTTGGAAACCATAAATATATATATGTACATATCTACAGAATTAATTTTTCTTCATTAATATATATATATATTCTTTGCAGTCATAGGATGAGTCAATATTGACTTTTCTAATAATGCTGGAATTTTAAATAAGATTACTTGAGATATTTATCAGCAAAATTGGTCAGTTTTAACTCCAAAGAAAGTGAAACAGCTTCCATAAAAGTAGCATTTCTACTTTGTTTTCAGTTTTATGTGAATATCTATATGTTGAAATATATTGGTAAATCACTCATCTTTCAATAAATTCATGGTCTTTTGAATCACTTCTGGGAAGGTTTGTTTATTCATTTGTTGATAAGCGCAAAGCTACACAATGAGTTATTTGTGCTATATTCACGACGAGTGTCGAAACACAATTTTAGCATTAAAAGTTCTCAGACGTACTGCTGAGCCACTGTTCTGGGAAGGACAAACGTGTGAGATACTCCATGTTCTTAGTCAGTTAAGTGGATTTTATTTTATTTTCTCTTCACCCTACTCACGAACTGGTAACTCAATATAAATTAAATGTAAAGAACAAAACAAATGGCAGGTAATCATATTAACCTTCTTGTAGTAGGTTTCTTAGTGTTGTTAAGAGTGATTATTTTAAATATAAAGTAACAAAGAAAACATACCTCTTATTATTATATTTCAAAATAATCTTGAATTGGTCCCATGAACGTATGTCATTGAAGTGCTCTTATAAATCTCTCACAAAAGATGTTGTTGAACATGCCTAAGAAGAACAAGGAAGCAGTTCCAAGCCTCTTGTGTAAGATACATACAAAGAAGCATAAATACGATAGTTGGGATAGTTCAACTGTTGCTCCAAAATGTTCACTTGTGTTGAATGTAGTAGTTCTTTATTGAAATTCATGAATACTGGCTGACAGATATCAAGATAAATGTTTGCCAAACTAGCTGTATCTTAATTTGCAATTGATTAACTCTTTCTATTCACATTGTTAATACTTATTCATTCATTCACATATTTTTATACTTTGGAACTTAATATTTAGTATTCAGTTCCTGTTGGCTCACTTCTATAGAGTACTACCCTATCATGTGCAGATTTAGAGAATCGAGAATAACAACCAGCATATAATTGTGGACAACAAATTGTTTAACCCTAAAAATATCTTTTACGATTTTTAGTATTGTTGCGTCAGCGAGGTCACGTGACTAGTGTCACGCCACGTTTCTAGAACTATCCTGTGCCTTCGTGAATGCCCTAGCATTTACTAGATATATGTTAGTCTGGTTTATATATAAGACGCTCACAACGTAACAATGTGTGTAGGTAATGAGTAATTGAACTGCAGTCAGAGAGAG